CTACCCCAAGTCTCAACTCCCTCATTCCCTCCGAAGAATTTTCCCTTCAATACGCCACCATTGATCACGCCATTACAGCCATCACACAAACGGGTGTTGGAGCTTGGTTAAGTAAGACGGACATTACAAATGCCTTCAAACTGCTACCAATCCACCCTACACTCTGGCACCTACATGGTATAAAATGGGCAGGGAAATACTATTTCTTCTTCCGCTTAACCTTCGGGTCGAAAAGTAGCCCAAAGATTTTTGACACTTTTGCTGAAACACTTTGCTGGTTACTACTAAACATTTCTAGATGCCCCATAGTCATCCATTACCTCGACGATTTTCTGATGATAGAAGGGAACTCACTTCCGCCCAGTAGTCTTAAAGAAGCCATTAATCTATTCAACCACTTGGGTGTCCCAGTCTCCCTCAAGAAAACTGAAGGTCCAGACACCATCATTACATTCCTGGGCATACAACTCGACTCTGCATCCATGCAAGCAAGCTTACCACACGACAAAATTGACAACATTATCAACAGCATAAATCACTACATTTCCCTGGGTACTTGCAACCTCAAGGATCTCCAGTCCCTTATAGGTTCCTTAAACTTCGCCATGCGCATCATCCCTCAAGGACGGGCTTTCATATCCAGACTGCTTTGTCTTTTTCCCCACTTTCAACACGAGAACCACAGACTATCCATGGATCTACAAGCCACAGCAGACCTACAAATGTGGAGGAGGTTCTTGACCAGTTGGAATGGTAAAAGTTTGTTCCTCCCCGCATTATCAGACACGTCCCCAACCATATGGTCAGACGCAGCATCCAACAAGGGTTTTTCAGCCATCTTTGGTAACAAATGGCTTTGGGGTAAGTGGCCTGAAGAAGTCCGTGACTTAGAAGGCTTTTTTACAACCTCAGCTCTCTTTGAGAGTTACCCTATTGCAGCGGCCGCTGTGGCATGGGGACACCAATGGTCAGGCTTGTCTGTGCGTTGCCACTCAGATAATCAAGCCACATGTCACATAATCAACAAAGGCTGTTCATCATCCCTTACAATCATGAGGTTTCTTAGGAAACTCACGTGGTTGGCAGCATGTCATAACTTCTACTTGGTTTGCTTTCATGTACCAGGTATTAGTAATATAGCAGCTGACAGCCTGTCTCATTTTAATTTTCAGGCTTTTCGACAAGCACACCCATCAGCCGCTCAAGCAGCCACAGTCGCCCCTCCGTTCTCACAACTAATCATGGACTAGAGATAATCATGGAACATAGTAGGGGTCTAGCCACATTAGCACTATCACACAACACTCACACTACATATAACAGAGCCTTTACACTATTTAACAGATTTCTCGCCGATCACGACATATCACAACCATTCGTCATGACATCTATTATAGCTTTCACTTCCTTTTGCCACCTTAAATTACACTTATCATATAACACAATTAAGTTATATCTTACAGGCATACAACATCACATGCTAACACTAAGACCTAACACACATAGCTTCATGTCATCATACCAGGTAAAGAATATAGTCAGAGGTATCCAAAAATCCGTACCTCCACGACCACCACAGCGATTACCTATAGACAATAAACTTTTTCAGTCATAATCCGACCTATTAAATTCCAGACCTTTCCACTCCACCGCCAATTCAGTCATTAAAACAGCTATGTACACAGCCTTCTATGGGTTCCTCAGGCCAAGGGAGTTCACCACTGTCACAACTACTCAAATGGATAGATGCCTGCTACACAAGCACCTACGAAAACATAGTGACCACTACATACTCTCTTTACCCCAGTCAAAGACAAGCCAACATGCGCATCCAGTGGAGATCACATATTACCCTACCCTAAACAAATGGTGTCCAGTAGCAGCCTTAGACGCCTATCTTCTTAACACCACAGCACTACCATCACAACCTTTATTCCAACTGCAACACACAGTACTCACCACCACGGCATTCATGAGATATATACGATCCCTGCTAACTATGCTGGGTCTCAAACCCTCTCACTACTCTGGTCACTCGTTTCGCATAGGAGCAGCCTCCTCCGCATCCAGCGCCAACGTACCAGTACACGTCATCAAGTCATTGGGACGTTGGAAGTCATCCGCCTATATTACATATATACCCAAACCAACACAAGAATTAAGAAATGCATTTAAAGTCATATCTGGATAATTGTATATATTGTTGACTGTAATAAATATTTTGTTATTCACTTTTTGCCCTCTTTATTTACAGGCCTACCGTATCGTCGGTATCGGCACACCACAACCGACTTGCTCTTTTATACTATTCCAAGTTCCTACTGGAACCTCACTCCTGATACGATTACTTTGCCCCTTACACAAATATATATATATTATATATATATGATCTAAGTATATATATATATATATATACACATATACATACACACACTGTCTAGGTGTATTTTACTATTAATAAATATATAATTATATATATATTAATATCAAATTACACGTAGACTGATACTGATTAAATATATATATATCATTATTGTTATATATTTATATATAATATATAAAAAAAATGTAAATACGTTAAAAAATAAAATTACAAAAATAATTAAAAATAAATAAAAAAATATATAGATGTGTGTTATTTCGTTCTAACTGTTTTGTGATATTTATATATATATATATATATATATTTATATCAAAATACACGTAGAACGAAATAATATATATATCTATATACATAAATATATACGTATATATCACTATATATATACCTATATATAAATAAAAATATTTAAAAAAAAATTATATATATATATATATATATATATACATATATATACACATACGCATATATATATATATATATATATACATACATATATTAATTCTACATATATATCTATGTAATATTTTTACATAATTAGGTATCTTAATTAATTACAATTAGCTGACAACCCATGCCGAAAGTAAAGGGAATTTAATTTGCTAGCACTATAATTAACCCTATAACTTTCCAAGACACCATAAAACCTGTACATGGTTCTACTCGGGAGACTTCGCTGAACACAAATATTAGTGTTTCAAAACAGTAAAATGTATTACAACGATGATATCGCCAGTAAAAGTGAAGTTTTTTGAATTTTTCACGCACAAACAGCACTTACACGGACGATATTATTGCTGCGATACTTTTTACTGTTTTGAAACACAAATATTTGTGTTCGGCGAAGTCTCCCGAGTACAACAGTACCCCTCATGTATAGGTTTTATGGTGTGTTCAAAAGTTACAGCATCAAATATAAGGCTTGTGTTTCATTTTTTCCACATTAAAATTCACCAGATTAGTTAGGTTGCCTTTGAGACCCTATGGTAGCCCAAGAATGAAAATTACCCCTATGATGGCATACCACTTGCAAAAGAAGACAACCCAAGGTATTGCAAACGGGGTATGTCCAGTCTTTTTTTAGTAGTCACAAACACTGGCCAAAATTGGCGTTTTTTGCATTTTTCACACACAAACAAATACTAACGCTAACTTTGGCCAGTGTTTGTGACCAAATGGCTACTAAAAAAGACTGGACATACCCCATTTGCAATACCTTGGGTTGTCTACTATTGCAAATGGTATACCATTATGGGTGTAAATTTCATTCCTGGGCTACTATACAGTCTCAAAGGCAACATAACCTATCTGGCGAATTTCAAATGTAACATGCTATATTTGACCCTGTAACTTCCCAAAACGCCATAAAACCTGTACATAGGGGGTACTGTTTTACACGTGAGACTTTGCTGAATACAAATATGTGTATTTTATTGCAGTAAAAGCAAACAGTATAATGACATTGACAGTTAAAATGTCATGTAGAACTAAAAGAAATAATAAAAATCTTATTTTCTCCCATTTTTTTCATATTAAATTATGTTTCTCAGCTATATATTTTTAATATTAAATGAAAGCCCTGTTTCCCCTGAATAAAATGATATATAATAAGGGTGGGTGCATTTACTATGAAAGAGGTGAATTACGGTTGGACAGACATGTAGCGCAAATGCCAGGTTTTGTTTACATTTTGTTTTGTTCACAACGTGTACATTTGGCTCCGTCCTTAAGGTGTTAAATAGAGAATTTACAAAAAAAGGAAACAAAAACAACCCCCTGCCCACAAAACAAATATAGGAATAAGTAAAAATAATAATAAAAGTCTTGGGATACAACCGTTGTGACATTTAATCAGAGACTGTGCGGGAGTCAATTAAACTGAAGGCTGTATGTATATATTTTTAAATCCTGAAAGTATGCAATAAATAATTTGATTTTAATTAACATCTTTGGGGAGATGAATTACTGAAGAATGCTATTGTTGGCATATTATATCAGTATCTGTCAGCAAAGATTTTGAGAATAAATGAAATAAAGAATGCTTGATTAAAATATTTTATTGGATTTTTCAAGATATGGCCACAATATTCTTGCTGTACCTCCACTTTTTAATAGAGATCAAAAAGTTACCTATTGAGGTGTTGTGGAAAAATAATCACTTGGCTATTCTGCTATGTTATTAATGGTAGATGGCCAAATTAATGAAGTAAAGCATGAGTAGATACTAGGTGTCACATGTACGTACATGTAACGTGCTTCTCTGAGATTAAAGAAAATCTAGTCCTGAGTTTAACCTTAACACTGAAAAAATTCAATCAAGCCATGTCAAAGATGCATAATATTGCAACATATATTAAGAGAAAACAATTGAGAGGTTATAAAGACATTCATAATCCATAGGACCAGATGAATTCCTTATTGGCATTATTATTTGTTTAATTAATGATTGATTTTAAAATTAAAGTATCAGCCTTTACCCTCTCTATCCCACTCTTTCTGTATATAAATATGTATAACACTAATAAACTATACCATTGACTCTTTTAATAATGTTATTTCTTTCTTTAGGTTTTGTTTGGAGCCACCATGTTTTTGTAATGAAGACAACATTTTTATAATTGTTAAAAAAGCAAAAAAATAAGAGAAAAATATATCTACGGAGTTCTTCATTGGAAGACAACAGCAACTGGGAGGTGACAAAAGCACCAATACCAAACAACTACAACAGATTCATCCATCCATTCATCAAAACGAAAATATATTTGCTACTTTCATAATTTACCATAGTTCTGGACTATCATGTATCATCTGTTGATGGTGTTACTCAGTGTAACTTTAGATGCACTCAGTGTGCACTCGTCACTCAATTTTGGAGCTGTACAGGGCCAATGGCAAACTAACCAAACACAGTCTTTGCCAATGCTGCTTGCCCACATCAAGCGCCCACAGGCTCAGAATGCCTCTTCAGGAAAAAGCCAGGCTGCACCCGACATGTGCTATGGATACTATGATGTGATGGGGCAGTATGATGCCAGTTTTAACTGTACCACAGGTACATATCGATACTGTTGTGGCACATGCCACTATCGCTTCTGTTGTGAGCATCATCACAAGCGCTTGGACCAGGACAGCTGTACAAACTATAACAGTCCATTTTGGGCACGTGTCACCCAGCCTACCACTACCAGTGCTAACAGCAAGTTGAACAATAACGGACATGCAGATCAAACCAATAGCACCGTCTATGTCATCTGTGGTGTCATTAGTTTCACCCTAGCCGTGGGCATCGGAGTTAAAATTGCCTTCAACAAGGCCTCACGGCGCCCACGGGGGAGAGAGATTAATGTGCCCAGGTGAGCTAAGAAGGCTAAAGCCTAGAAATTGAATTTACTCTGACACAGCAGGTGTAAGATTTACATTACATTAAAATTGTGATAAAATACCTCGCTGCTTTGAGAGCATAACAAATGCATTACTGATTAAAGTCCAAAACATTCACAGGTACTTTTTATCAACCATTAAACCTTGATTAGTCTCCCAAGTAGCCATTCCAAATGGAATTTGCTTGTTCACTCCATGTTCAACAAAATTATTATTCAGACTAAAAATGTCATGCATTCATTTTATAGTATCAAGGCAAACTAGTACACAAAAACCATGACAACTAAAATTATATCGCTCGTCTTCACATACATTTCTAAACAAAACAGAATTACCTACTCATGCATAATCCACCACATTTTACCACAAAAAGTCCAAATATACTTTAGCTGCATGTTTATTTTTTGACAAAAATAAAACTATAGTATACAATATTGGTAGAGAAAATATTTCCCATATGCTATATCAAAATACAATTAGTTCACACTGCGGTAGAAAATATTATTTCACAGAATGGTACTTTTTGCATAAAAAAGACGCATAAAGTGGCTCTGTCAAGCAAAAACAAAAATTTTGTATTTCATCAGGATAAAATCTTTATGAAATGCTCATAAAGACTGTGTTGACATTTCCCTGAAAATCCACTTTTTCACATTCACTATCAAAATTTATCATAAGATAAATTACAGACTACTTTGACTTATGATAAATCCCTAACCTGACAAAACTGGACAAAAGGTGGAGCTTGATCACATGCAAAAGTACAGCATAGACATGAGCTTCTTGAAGATGAATAGCCATGAGATAAAGTTCAATGATGGCAATGTCAGCGGGGGACAACATCAGTTAAGTATAACTTAACTTTTCTGCACCCACAGGCCACAACACCCCAAGCAGTGATGTCACCGTCAGGGGTCTTTTCAGTTTTTGTGTAATGTATAAATTTAGCAGTATGCTAAATATATGTACAACCTAGCATGCCAGCTATTATCAGCATACCACATGTGATAAATCAACAGAATGTAAGTATTTGCTCCAAACTTCTGTCTTATATTTATCTGAATTACGCAACATCAGTGATTGGCATAATAAATGGTAAGTTAACATGTTTCAGATTTGCTTATATGTATATATATATATATATATATATATATACAATAGAAAGTCCTTGTAGTGATGTCCCGAACGGTTCGCTGGCGAATAGTTCCTGGTGAACATAGCGTGTTCGCGTTCGCCACCGGCGTCGAACATATGCGATGTTCGGTCCGCCCCCTATTAATTTACTAATACTAAGTAAAAATTGCCGCGAGTAGGGGCATGTCTATTAAACAGTGAGCAGCCTGTGGCTGCTCACTGTTTAAAAAAAAAGGGTCCCCCCCAGGTGGGGGCCCTAAATACTAATAGGGGGGGGACCTATTGTCCTCCCCCTGGCCCCCACCCCTGAGCGGTGGGTGGGGGCCCTAAAAATACCAATAAGGGGGGGGGACCTATTGTGTCCCCCCCAGTCCCCACCCCTGAGCGGTGGGTGGGGGCCCTAAAATGAACAATAAGGCGCAGCGGGTGGGGGCCATATTGATAATGAGGGGGGGACCTAATGGCTTGAAATCCATCCAATCACAGTGCTCTGTGTCATTTTACACAGCGTGGGAACATTCCAAAGAACTTTCCCACGTTGTGTAAAATGACACAGAACACTGTGATTGGATGGCTTGAAATCCATCCAATCACAGTGCTCTGTGTCATTTTACACAATGTGGGAACATTCCAAAGAACTTTCCCACGTTGTGTAAAATGACACAGAGCACTGTGATTGGATGGCTTGAAATCCATCCAATCACAGTGCTCTGTGTCATTTTACACAGCGTGGGAAAATTGAACTTTCCCACGCTGTGTAAAATGACACAGAGCACTGTGATTGGATGGATTTCAAGCAATCCAATCACAGTGCTCTGTGTCATTTTACACAGCGTGGGAAAGTTCTTTTGAATTTTCCCACGCTGTGTAAAATGACAAAGAGCACTGTCATTGGCTTCAACCCACCAATCAGAGTGTTCTTAGCCTAATTGCAGGGCGTGGCAAGGCTTTCCCCGCCCTGCAGAGCTAAGTCTGCGCAGAGCCCTCCATGGGTGAAGATGGGTTATTTTTTTGCGCTCGGGTTTTTTCTTTTTCATCGGGTTTTTTTTTTTGCGCTCGGGATTTTTATTTTATTTTCAATTCGACGGTTATGATGGTTTTTTATTTGGCCTTTTTTGGGGCTGAAAAATGAAGATTTGAGAAAAAAGAAGACGTCGAATGGTAAGTTTACTTTTATTTTACAGGTTAGTTATTTTATTCCCCCCTCACTATTTTTTAGGGTGAGGGGGGTAGGTAGGGACTTTTATTTGGGGGTGGGTGGGTGACTAGGGGCTTGGGGACCCCTAGTCACCTTGGGGGGGGGAATTTACTTAGGGCCCCCACCCGCAGCCCAGGGGTGGGGGCCGGGGGGAGGACAGTAGGTCCCCCCCTCATTATCTTTATGGCCCCCACCCGCCGCCCAGGGGTGGGGGCCGGAGGGGGGGTGGACAGTAGGTCCCCCCCATTATCAATATGGCCCCCACCCGCCGCGCAGGGGCCAGAAGGTCCCCCCCTCATTATCAATATGGCCCCCACCCGCCGCGCAGGGGTGGGGGCCTGGGGGGGCAGTAGGTCCCCCCCCCTTATTATCAATATGGCCCCCACCCGCCGCGCAGGGGTGGGGGCGGGGTGGACAATAGGTCCCCCCTTATTTTTCATTTTAGGGCCCCCACCCACCGCTCAGGGGTGGGGGCCAGGGGGGACAATAGGTCCCCCCCTTATTGTTATTAGGGCCGCAGGGGGGGACAATAGGTCCCCCCGTTATTGTTATTAGGGCCCCCACCCACCGCTCAGGGGTGGGGGCCGGAGGGGGGCAGTAGGTCCCCCCCTCATTATCAATATGGCCCCCACCCGCCGCGCAGGGGTGGGGGCCGGGGGGGGGCAGTAGGTCCCCCCCTTATTATCAATATGGCCCCCACCCGCCGCGCAGGGGTGGGGGCGGGGGGGACAATAGGTCCCCCCTTATTTTTCATTTTAGGGCCCCCACCCACCGCTCAGGGGTGAGAGTAGGTCTCCTCCCCCCCCTTCAACCACTAAAGAGTCCCTGTGGGTTTTAAAATTCGCCTGCCCATTGAAGTCTATGGCGGTTCATCGAGTTTGCGAACATTTGCGGAAGTTCGCGTTTGCCGTTCGCGATCCGAAAAATTCACGTTCGCGACATCACTAAGTCCTTGCTCTCAGGCTACGAGTATAAATATGTATACTTGCTGGGTGCTTAGCCTGGGACTTTAATATCCAGAAAAAGGTAGTGATGGCACACTCACGGTCTTCAGTAAAATTCTTCTTTATTAGGCAAGGTTAAAACATGTCCTTTCATCAGGATCAAACATGTTTTAACCTTGCCTAATAAAGAAGAATTTTACTAAAGACCATGAGTGCTGCCATCACTACCTTTTTATATATATCCTCTCTCACCTTACCGTTGCTGGTCTGACGAGTCACCCCTCTCACCACTCCCTCTATTAATAGCACCCTCTAAGGTGGGCCCACTTTTATTACAGGCCTACTGCTTTGTCGGTTCCGGCACACACTTATTTTTGTTATGGTTATAATATGCTAGGTTTCTGTTTTACGGCTATATTGCCCCAACTACATATATATATATATATATATATATATATATATATATATATGTGTGTGTGTGTGTTAATTTTACAAACCCAGTTTTAGCAAATGTATTAAGCAAAATGTCCATTACTGAAAAAAACAAGCACTTTATGTTGAATAATCAGTGTCATGACTTTCCAAACTTTAATTACGTTATTCTTGGTTCATTATACTAGATGCTGCTGAACAGGCGAAGTAATACAAACAGAAGATGACAAAATATGAAAAATAAAAAAAAACTGAATTTAAAGGGATGCCCCAGGTTATGGTAGCATTGTTTGTAAATACTATATAGAGCTGCTGCTTTAAAAAAACAACAACCAAAAAACATAATATAAATGAATGTGTCTTCTTGGCAACAAACCCCAGGAGCAACGTCTGTGGTGATGCCCAAAGAAACCAGTAAATGGCTTCATGCCTAATAATAGGCATAAACTGCCAAATAATGCAATTACCAACAGTTGATTTAGTGTGTCCTACCCTTTAAGCCTCATGCTGCAAATGGCCTGTAAGAGTGAGGAGGATCAACGTTCCTTTCTCTGTTAAAAGTGGCCTGGGGTTGTCAGCTATGCAATCATGGCACACGCAGTTCAAGGAAGTGCAATGGGATGTTTAACAATGATTCTTTTCTAGATGTAGACTTGACATTTTATGTAAATGCCCATATCTCTGCAACCAAATGTACTAGATAACCCAATTAGCTCTTGTTTAAAATAAGATAATGCCTTCTTTAAAACAAATGTAGACATGGTGTACCCCAAGATTAAAATAAACAAAGCTACATATTTGTGTTAGTTACAATAATGCCCTCTTACAAACTGCTCTCAGAAATCTGGGCTCATTAGACACCAGTACCATATTGATGACAAGATTAGAATACTGTCAAAACACTTATTTTAATATTTGGTTTAAAATCTTTTAAATAAGGGTTTTGGGTCTCAAGTGATTTCTGAGGATAATTGATATCATTTTCATCAACAGAGCCCCAGTTTAAAATACATATTTATTTTCAACGGGGTTAGGATATCACTTTCGTTCTGGATTTCGCAGTACAGTCCTGATTAGGAGCTTGGCCACCAGACCAAGTTTGTTTCAGGGCTCCTGAGGACTCATTTACTGCAACACAAATACCTCCTAAAACACTTGAGTTTGCTAAAGTACGTGCAAGCTATTCATCCCATGTAAGAGTATACTCAATCCCCCTTTTAGCCTATTTCTTGGCATACCATACCACCTCCTAGATTTTTATTTCCAAATTTTGGGAAGTATGATTAGCAATGTAATTGGCTTCTCAATTAAAGGGAAACTAATTTTCCGGGCACTATAGCTTCCCCCTGTGTCAAGGGAAAATTAGGTGGGGCAGTTTTGGACTCGCGATAGCCCCTACAAATGTTCACCAGACCCTCTTACTAACATATGAAAGGCCAAATAATGCCCAGTCCACTGTAATCTTATATATATACATATGTATATCTTATATATTAATACTATCTTTAAATCTCTTGGTTCAAATACCTTTAAAGGAATACTATTGTATTCCTGACCCTGTAGTGTTAAAAACAACATCATGCCCCCCTAGCATCCACTTAAATATAGTAACATCTTACTTTTATTCTAACTTGCTGCTGCTAGCTCTGCCCCTGTTCTGTCTACTTGGCTGACATCATCAGAAGTGTTGAGGAGGCAAATCAGTGGCGTGGCAAAGCCAGGACAAGTCAAACAAAGCCCTGGTCAATCAGCATCTTCTCATAGAGATGTATTTAATCAATGCATCTCTATGAGTAACTTTCAATGTCTCAATGCAGAGAGTAGAGACACTGAATATCAGTGCTGCACACTGTGCAACACTGCCTCAGGAAGCACCTCTAGTAGCCATCTGAGGAGTGGCCAGTGGAGGTATCCCTAGGCTGTAATTTAAACACTGTATTTTCTCTAAAAAGACAGTGTTTACTGCAAAAAGCCATAAGAAATACAATAATCTGTTGTTGTTCTGGTCACTATAGTGTCCCTTTAAACTGGCACAACAGAGGCAGGGCCGCCATGAGGCAGCCTGGCCATTCAGGCCCCATGTGTAGTGGCGGAACAGCCGCCGGTGCAGCTGCACCAGGGCCTGCATGCCGATGGGGTCCATTGGGTAGTCCATGCACACTGTCCGCGCTGTGGCCGTGTAATAGGGCGACCGAGCCCTTTTAAAAATGTCAGCTGCAACTAGTGCTGGGAGAAAAATATGAACTGCAACTAGTGCGCTCACTTCACACGGAAGGGAGAAAATACAGATCAGAGGCCGTGAAGAGGGAGAGCTAGACCGGCTCCCATCAGCCCCAGCCACCCTTCTGCAACGAAAAGATAAAAACAGGAGGGTGGCTGAAAAATGAGCTGCATGTGTGTGTGTCATTGTGTACATATGTATGTGTGTCCATGTCAGTATGTGTCAGTATGTATGTGTGTGTATGTATTTAAGTATGTGTGTGCCAGTATGTATGTGTGTGTGTCAGTGTGTATGTGTGTGTGTATGTATGTGTGTCAGTATGTATGTGTATCGCAAAAATGGTGATAGGAGCCGCACTCAATCCCAGTAGCCACCCGGTGCTCCGGGGTAATACCAGCAATCCCACAACGACAAAGGAGTAAGAAATTCTCCAGGAACTCAAGGTGTTAAAGCCACAGGCAGTTTTAATAGAACAAAAGAAGCAACTAAGTTCTTTTAAAACTGCCTGCGGCTTTAACACCTTGAGTGCCTGGAGAATTTCTTGTGCTGCTTAATATGTATGTGTATATCAGTATGTATGTGTGTGTGTCTATATGTTAGTCTGTATGTATGTATGTCAGAATGTATGTGTATATATGTATCTTAGTATGTATGTATGTGTGTGTCTGTATCATACAGACATAAATATACATTCTGACATACATACGGAATGTATGTATGTCAGTATGTATGTGTGTTTGTATGTCAGTATGTATGTATGTGTGTGTCTATATGTCCTTATACATGTGTGTCTGTCTGTATGTTAGTATGTGTCTGTGTGTCAGTATGAATGTCTGTGTGTGTCTTTATGTGTGTGCATGTTTGTTTCAGTATGTGTCAGAATGTCTCTGTGTGCATCTTTGTATGTGTATATTTTGTGTCCTTTTGTATAAGTGTGTGTATCTGTGTCTGTGTGTGTATTCTGTGTCAATGCTTGAGTGTCTGTGTCTGTGTGGGTATATATGCGTGTGTTTATCTCTGTGTCAATGTGTGTATCTGTGTGTCTGTGTATTTGCATGCGTGTCAGTGTATGTGTATTAGTGTGTGTGGAAGTGTATACGCAACACAAATTCACACCTGCATTCATACACCAACATTCACACACATATTCCATACAAAAACATGCTTACATTCAAACAAATTATGTGTGTGTATATATATATGTAATATATAATAATATATGTACATATATATAAGAAAAAATGAAAACTTTTGCACTCCTACCTCCAGCCAAAGTGATTCCGGGTGCCCAGCCACACTGTTACATACATTTTTATACAATTTCTGAATGCTCATTTAGTGTATTTTTCTCTGGTGCCATATCTTCCCCATAGAAAAGTGTAATATCTTCATAGGCTTCAAAGAATGCTCTCTAATTTGTCTACTCCTTTTACAGAAAGCAACATTAAAAAATTAAAAAAGGTCCTTCTTGATACTTGTATTCTGTAAAAATGTTATGTTATTATCACCATTTCAGAGCTCTTGTGGATATTCTAAGACACCAGTCAGTTCAAGGGAGCCACGGGGAAAGAAATAATAGCACAACTCTAAATTCAGGAACACATGATAATGGGCCATCACGTCCACCAAAAAACACTTACAACCCAGTGAAATCTTCAAAAAGCAACCATGGTGAGTAAGCTAAGATGATAAAAAAAACATTATTGCTACTAACATGCATGCTAGTTAGAACTGGTGCCAATATATTATAACTTGCTTGAAAACATATAATCCAAACAATTTTTCCATCTGAAAATATTTGTTACTTATTATACGCATATCAGTACTAATGTATAGTATATTTTCAGAACTCAAACACTTCCCAATTTAGAAGTGCCTAGAAGTTTTTTCCCGTAGTTTGCTCCTGTGAGTGGGTAGAGTCAGGCAGGGTCTCTTTAGTGATTTGGTTCTGGGAGGATTGGGAGAAGGGGGTGGGGGAGGTTCCAGAACTTGGGGAAAACTAAAAAAAAATATTTGCAAAGCCTCCACTTGGGAGGTATGGTACCCATCTTTGGTACCATGGGGGTGCAAACTTTCAGTCTCCTTGTGGTGGCTACGGGTCTTGTGGTGTCGTGTTAACTTGATGGGGCGGTGTGGGATGACATTTTTCGGTTGGGATCATTACTAGTTTCCAGCTTGTTAAGGAGCTGTTTGGCCATGCTCTGTGGGAGATGAGCCTGCTGTAGGTGTGTAGTTTGCAGACCATAGCAGGACATATCTTTGCATGTAACTTATAATTTGTGTTCCCCTATACCATTCATTAGAGTTCTTGCCATGCCGGGGTTGTCTCACATAGTGGTCTTTAGGTGGACCTGTTATCTCAGGCTTGTTACTTGTTTACCACTCGTTGTGCTGTCTGATATAGCGTCTGTCATGCCAGTAGTGAACTTCAGTATTCTCTGTGGAACTTATAGTCCCCTTGAGGATCTCAGGCGTTGCCTGCGAGGGAGACGTACAGGCTTCTGTTGTTAATAGCTGGCTATACCTAGAAGGTCAAGATTTTATCAGGGTCTGATATATGTTGTCTGGTTGCGGACTCGCTTGTCTATGTGTTGGTGAGGAAGTATTTGAGATTGGGTAACCCCTTGTCTAATGCATGTGGGGTGTGCACTTAACTCCTATGATAGATGTCTCCCTCCCGTGGTGGTGTTGCAACATAGTGAGCCAAGGGGAGGTGGTTGCCGTGATGGTTATTGTATGGCTTATAAAGTGTCCCCGAGGGTTGAATGTGCATTCATGTTAAGGGCCTGACTCTGAGTTAGGTGTTTAGACTGGGTTCCCTAAAGCGTATTTACAGACATATTACCATACAACATAGTTCCATACATACAATGCATGGAATGAACTTAAACCTATGAACTTAAACCTTGTAAACAGCAGTTTTCCTGTTCATACGTCATTGCAAGGGCATTGTATGTTTAAATTTCATATTCTCTTTGCACCTTGCTTATATAAGTCATATAGTTGCCTCGAAGGCATGAATACTAATGTATCATACTTAGTACTGATAGGTATTAAGATTCTGGGTGGCAAGTAGGGCCATTGTAGGTGCCAGCTCCCTTGATTTGTGTTCCAGAGGTTGGAGTACAATCCAGACCTCCAGTTACTCCTGCTGCACTCGTATAACCCATCCAAGTTGTGACAGTGCATCGGACGGGACCACCCGGGAGTCCGGTTGTCTGACACTGTCTGGCACAGCTCAATGGGTGAGTGGGAAGCTTTCAACCTGTGTGTTTTCCCTTGTTGTGGAGGAGGGATAGGCGCTATGCGACTCTTGGTTTCCCCGAAAGTGTGGAGGCCTATCTTCTTCGGCTCGTCTTTAGTATGCTAAGTCGGGGACTTAGGCAGGTTGACCCTTTTAAGGACAATTGTATCGTACTGTACAGCAGCATAGTTGTAAAGGGGGGAGTTAACATGGCTGTATACCATTGTCCATGCCTATTTGGTGCATGTGTCTCTTCCCACATAGTGCGTAGTTAGTTTTGTCCCCTAGAGCTATGTGACCCAAGTTTACTTCCCACGTTTTGAGAAAGCGGTGGTATAGAGTGCTGGGTATTTGGTGACAAGCAGCAGTCATTTCATTTGCTGTCACTGTCACATCAGGTTGTTTTTTGTCAGGTTTGTCTTTGGTATCTGGGGGAGAGTATCCTTGAGGTGTCCCCTCAGGGGTTGATTACCTCTGGGCGTGATCATGCCTGCTTGGGTTCTTGCTGGTGTAGTGTACTAGGTGAGGGTTGTATGCCATGAGCAATATAACCATTAAGCTATATAAAACATAACTTAAGAGATATAGCACTTAAAAAAACAAATAGAAAATTATGAAGAATTAAAATGAAAGAAAATGTGGGCAAAGTCAGTCTATCATGTGCGCATAGCAGGGTGTGTGTGCACAAGTATACTTGCAGTCCTTAACGGGCTTCTCTCCTCAAGGAAGCTGTGCTCCACTCCAGTGGCAGGCGGTGATGAGTGGGCCTCTGGGATTTGGTCCGCAAGCCCCCAGGAGTGCAGCTTGCAAAGTCCCTCGTCTGGTGATGAAATTACTTGTGTTGTGCCATCTTTAGTTACCAGCATTTTGGTAGGGAATCCCCAGCGGAATCTCAGTCCATGCACTCTCAGCTGGTCTGCAACCTGAGAGAAGTCCTTTCTCCTGCGTAAGGTGGAGGCCGAGAAGTCCGCAAATAGCTTGACGTCGGGATAATCTGCCAGAGGTTTCCCCTTGTTCCAGCTCGCTCGAAGAACATGCTCTTTGATGTGGTAATAGTGGGCACGTAGCAATACATCTCTTGGAGCAGTGTCTGGGAGGAATCTTGGGCATGGTATTCTATCGATGAGTAACATGTCCACCGGTATTTCCGGGGTGTAGGCTTGGACGAGGCCTCGATTTTCAGGTTAGATTGTTTTGGGTATGCCCCAGAGGCTCAAATTATTCCTATGCGCTCTGTCTTCTAGGTCTGTTAATTTGACTTCTCCAAATGTTCTACATGTGTAGCCAGGTCATTGTGTGCAGAGGCGAAAGTCTCTATCTTAGTCTCCACATGAGAGTTGCGCTTACCGAGTTCCTGGACATCCTTCCTCGAGGAGTCCATCGAGTGTTGCCATGATGTAATTAGTTTTTGCGATAAAGCATCTAGTGCCATTTGAAGGTGGCTTTTTGTGAGCCTGTTTGGATCTGGCTCAGTCTCCGTGAGAGCGGGAAAGTCGAGGCTATCGGAGCTGGCGCCTGCCATCTTGTGTGAAGGCCCAAATTATTTTCGTATTCATATTGGGATTTACTCCCAAAGAAATACATTTTTTCCGCCTTTGCTGGCGTTCTTTTTGTTCTTCTGTTTCACCTTAGTGCTTTTAGGTTTGCTAGGGTTATCCCAGTCTGTCGGATTGCAGTAGAATGTTGACCCTGTTTGCTGGAGCTAGGGATCAAGCGTCCATTCCTCTTGGCTGTTAGCTATGCCCCCCATACTTCCCATTTTATTCTTTAAAAAAAAATCACTATAGAATAAAATATTTTGTACATAATTTAATCAAAAAATGTCATAATCTCCTTACCTTCCTGTGACAAACTCACTATTTATCCTGTTCTCAAGACATTTCCCTCCTAGTTAGTGTTATAGGTTTCCGCGAACACAAGTACATTATCCCAGTTAAGCAGCTACAATCTACCGAAGACCACCACCCCCTGGCTCATTAACTACAAAACCCCACAAACTTAAGGGGAACTATTTGACATTTCATTTCTGAACTCCCGAAAGTGTTCAAAACTTTACCCCAGTGGCGATTCAGCTGTATTCGTGGGATCTGAGCACTATTTGGATATGTGGGTTGCTCAGATCTAGGCTATCTGGAGATATAATACCATTGGGGGTTCATATATGTGTTATGTGTATTTTTTTTGTACAATACTTTGTATCTCTAGTGCCTGAGAGATAATTAGTTTAAGCAAAAGCAGACACATCTCCCAGACACAAAGGCGCCTGGGCCGGCTTACTGTACAAGTGATTGGAGACCCCATGCTGGGGGCCTGTGTATATAAGCTGGCCACTGGACCATAATAAAACATTCTCCTTGTACCCTTCATCCAGTCTTGGCTGATGTTTGGGTATACCAAAGCTATAATCACTGCTTCATTTTGGGACTTGGGAGAATTACAACGCATATACTCAGTCAGAGTATAGGGGATCTGTTACACTCGTTGTAAGCGGCAGGATTCGTCTCCCGAATGGATGTCCCGAACCGAAAGAAACAGTGAATGGCCCGGCAGTATGAACTCATCAAGTGAACCACACTGAAAAATTTACTGGAAACTTGAGGGAGAGTGGCGAGCCACAAGCCGAAAGCCACACTAATTGGCGAACTCATGGAGAGCAACCGAACCAGTAACACCACAATGGACAGTGCTGAGGAGACTGATTTTCAAAGGGATGTAAGATGGAGGCTCAGCATCATGGGGCCCAATCCATCGCAGGACATAATAGTGCAGATCATGGCTCAAGCAACAGAGGCACAGAAAGCTTGTGAGTTAAAAGCAGGGTCGCTACAGGGAGATACAGCGTCCCTACAAGGATCTATGAATGGACAGCCATGGAAAATTAGCTTCTCCTATCATCCCCAGATAAACAGACTCTGTGAGCGGTATAATGGCACCCACAAACAGATGCTACAAACCTTCACAGATTCCTGTCAAAACTGGGATAAGTTTCTCCCCCATGTATTGTTCACCTACAGGGAAGTTCCCCAGGAGTCCACCAGAATTTAATCCTTTGAACAATAGTATGGGCAGAGAGTTCGAGGCCCCTGGACCTTGTCTGAGAACATTGGGAGGGAGACATGGGAGAGGCAGGTATCCCTATGCCCTGGAGCTGCGGGACCGGCTGGAGGCTCTAACCGAGTCCTTTCGAGAGAACTTGCGGGTGGCCCCGCAGCGTCAGAAACGTTGGTCTGACTGGAGGGCTAGAGATAGTATTTTAGAGCCTGGTCAAAAAGTGTTAGTCCTTAGACCCCAAAAAGCTGATAAACAAGCAGCATGGCAAGGGCCCTTTAGGGTAGTGGAGCTGATATGTGACACCACCTATATAGTGGTAAAATGTTCAGATGAGAGGATTAAAAGATCCTTTCATGTGAACATGCTCAAGCCTTATCTAGAAAG